AGTAGCAGGATGTTAACCGTGATGATGAAGAAGGATTAGGCTGGTGTCTAGTAGCAGGATGTTAACCGTTGTGATGAGGAAGGAATTGGGCTTATGATGTAGTAGCAGGAGATTAACCATAATGATGATGAAGGAACTGGGCTTATGATGTAGTAGCAGAATATTAATCGCGATGATGAGGAAGGAACTGGGCTGATGATGTAGTATCGGAATGTTAAACTTGTAATAATTATTGATAATGAGGAGATTGAACGTGGCCAAAGCTTGATAATGTAATACTGGAACCTTCCTTAACTTGTTATCAAATAATTGTTACTTTTAACTGTTTCACTGCCATGTTTAAATACAACAACTGTCACAGTGCCAGGTTTATCTTTAGATAAACAAAAAAGACATATTTTAATGTTTCATGACTTATCTAACACTTAAAAGTGGTATACTTGGGGAAGTTTGAAGGGGAATACCCTTTCTTTATGGTGATACAAAATTCCAAACTCCAATAGCACAGCTCTAGAGGGAGGCATACATGCACCTGCGGCAGTGAAAGGGTTAAGTACAATTTGGCATATTGAACTGGATGTTGTATTACTTGTGATTACGAGGTAAAAAATAGTAATTTGGTGCTTGCTCCTATTCTAACCGCAGTTAACACATGATGAATCATTCAGAGTTCTTAATAAAACGTTAATACTGAGAAGTCATAAGGTTTAACATACACAACGAAGTACACTTAATCACGTCAATATAACTTTTATTCAAATCCGTGTGTTCCCCAGTGAGTTAAAGGAATTAGAACGCCAAAACCCAGGGTTCGATTCTCTGCAGTGAACAGAGAGCAGATAATACATTGTTTAGCTTTGCGCTAAAACAACAATAACCTCAAACTCGCGCGATACAAATTATTGCAAAATCATTGTTTGCGCTAGAAACTGGGTTTCGATACCCGTGGTGTGCGGAGCACAGATAGCCCATTGTGCAGCTTTGTGCCTAATTACAAACAAACCAGTTAGATGAAGATAAAAGAAATATATCAGTCCAGTGGATGCTTTCTACTGTTTTTTTTTAAACACTATAATCTTTGCTAATCTATCCAATTCAAAACCGGCCCGGCATGCCAGATGGTTAGAGCCCCGGCATGGCCAGGTGGTTAGGGCGCTCGACTCTCAATCTCCGGGTCGCTGGTTCGAATCCCCATCCCATCAAAAATGCTCGCCCTTTCAGTGGTAGGAGCGTTATAATGTGACGGTCAATCCCACTATTCGTTGGTAAAAAGAGTAGCCCAAGAGTTGATGATGACTAGCTGGCCTTCCCTCTAGTCTTACACTGCTAAATTAGGGACTGATAGAGCAGATAGCCCTCGCGAACTTCAAAAAAAAAAACCATTTGAAAACCATTGTGCTTAATTTAATAAGAAGTTCGTCATAATTTGACGCTAATTTTATTTAATGCAGTAACATCAGTCTTAACATGGGCCGGGCATGGTTTATTGGTTAGCGTGCTCGAAGTGGATATTCGAGAATTTGTTGTTAGCGTTTACTACCAGAAAAAAAAAAATGCGATCCGCAGTTTGGGGTCTTGTGGGTGCGCTCTAAGAGTGGCGGTCAATTCCTTCTATCCGGTTAGACAATAGTAGCTTATATGTTTGCTGTTGACTAGTTAACTTCTCTCTAGTCTATAAGTTCAAAATTAAGGATGTTCGCGTAACTTTGCGCGAAACGTGTAAAATAAAACAACTGTTTTAATATTCAGAACATGATAATCACGTTTTTCTAAAGTCAAAATATAAACTATAAATCTGTGATCATAAAACGACAGTACAGTTAAATGAAACAAATTTACAATTGTATTGTTAAGTAGCCAAAAATCATGACTTGCGAATGTTATTTTGACGAGGGTAGATCGTCATTGAAATAAGGGGACGTGGGGAACCTCTTTCATGGATGATATCCTACCTACAACACTTTGAAATAAGGGGACGTGGGGAACCTCTTTCATGGATGATATCCTACCTACAACACTTTGAAATAAGGGGACGTGCGAACCTCTTTCGTGGATGATATTCTATCTAAAACACTTTGCAAGGTGCTAATTTGAGATCCGTTCTTCGGTCGACTTTAACATTTGTGTGCGCACGTTAAAACTGAAGTAAACTGCTACTAACTAACTAATGCTATGTATATAAGTTACGTTTATACAAGTTTTTATAATATATATAATAAACTTATTTATACACGGAAGCTACCAATAAATATATGTTAAGCTAGCTACTTCAACTTTCAAAATTTACAAATCATCGATAATGTTACGTCAGAAACGTTCACGTTTTGATTTTCAAGCTATAGAACTGTTGTTTTGATTCAAACTTGGTCGCTCGTATCATTCCTGAATTCGCAAGAACACAGTAATAGTTGTCATCAATTTCTTATGTAAACTGGGCGAGTGTTAGCTCACTGGGGCGAAAAAACACAGTAAAAGTTGTCAACAATTTCTTATGTAAACTGGGCGAGTGTTAGCTCGCTGGGGCGAAAAAAAACACAGTAAAAGTTGTCATCAATTTCTTATGTAAAGTGTTAGCTCGATGGGGCGCAAACGTTTATTAACGCGCAACATTTCTAAACATGCTTTCCTTTTTACCCCCCAAACCCCGTATAACCTATTTGTGTATATACTGTACATGTCATTTTCAAGTGCTAATGTTTTGTTACTATATTGGTTAATAACATTAATATTCGTACAGAAGTTTTTAAAACTTCATTATTTTCAGATTCGTACTTTCAAATATAGTTGATTTATTTATATAGTCATAGTTGTGCAACGTCCATAAGGGGGGGGGGGCTCCACACGACGGTGTTAGCTGTTGGAATGCTCGGAATTTAATTTTTTCATCAGTTTTCAACATATTTTTACAACACATAACAGAAATTCCAGTGTTGCCGTTTATATATATATATATATCACGTAAGTAGGCTAATTTCTTAGTGTTCCTCTTCGAGCAACAATAAACTATTGCACTTCAAGCAACAATAAACTATTGCACTTCGAGCAACAATAAACTATTAAATTCGGCAAGAATACTTCAAATCATCTATTAAGAATAGTGAAATATTTTGTCTGATGCTTACCCAGCTCGACAGTTTTAAAGAAATTATTTTATGTGTACAAATAAAAGTTATTATATGTTGACATCGTCTTCTTCTTTGTTTAATTTAATTGAACTGCAACTTCATGTTAGAAGGAAATAAGGACGGATTTCCGGTTCGGTAAGTCGTATGTAACCCCACCTAGAGGAAATTCTTTAATAACAGGATATCAAACTTCCAAGCGATAGCAGTATATATATATACAATCACGTGACTAAATAACATTCTGTTTAACTTAAGCATCGTTTAGACGTGAATACGAAATTAAAAAGATTGGTGTTAGTATTTTCTACTGTTTAATGTCCAGGGTTTCACGAGGCTGCTATATTATAATAACAACCTTGCAAAATGCGTACAATATTAGCAAGTATTTTTACATTAGAGGTTTTTACGGCTTTACTCTTTACCACCGTGACAGTTAATAGCACGACAACTGCTAATTCAACCATTCATCGGACTTCAGTAAATACATCATCTTCGAAAGGTAATTGTGGTCCTAATCATCGTATAAGTATAATTTGGAAGAGGAATTTTTGGCTATTAACCAATTAAAAAAAAATGAAAATATTCTATTAGTTTGTTGTCAAGCTCAAAAACTACACGATGGGCTGTTTGTGCTGTGCCCACTACGAGTATCGAAATCTAGGATTTAGCGTTATAACTTATAAGCCTTCAGACTTACCGCTGAACCGCTAGTACTGGGAGTAGAAAACTTTATATATTTAATTGTAAAATACAAACGATTAGTGAATATCGATGGATTAGAAAATAAAGTTATAGTTAATATAGTAATGATTAAATGCTGTCAAGGAAAATGAAGAAATAATTTGTCGTTTTCTTTTGTTTGTAGTTAAGCACAAAACTGCACAATGGGCTATCTGTGCTCTGCCCACCACGGGTATCGAAACACGATTTCTAGCGTTGCTAAGTTCGCAGAAATACCGCTGTCCCACTGGGGGGTGGCGAAGAATTAAGTAACAAACATCTTCGAGCGTAGAATATCCGATGGGATATGTATGACCCATAGACGTTTAAAAAAACGATTTCTGCATTAACTTGCTGAGCTGCTGGGTCTATAATAATATACGGACCAAAGACGAAAAATACGAAGACAAAAATACCATCAATATTATAATAAGTCACACTAATTACTGCTGCATTTTATTTAGAAGCTTATTAATTTCCTATAATGGCGCCCCCAAGTGGCACAACGGTATGTTTGCGGAATTACAACGCTACAATCCGGGTTTCGATACACGTGGTGGCAGAGCACAGATAGCCCATTGTGTAGCTTTGTGCTTAATTACAAACAAACAAACAATCCCTGAATGACCTGGAAAAACTACGACACGCCCCGAGGCGTAGCGTATTGTTGCGTATCTGCTTGTTTGTTAATTTCCCGTAGAAATTCTTCCCGAGAAACGTCAGTGATACAAGTCCTTTCTTCATTAAAACTAGTTTATTCTTTCTCGATACAAATTTTGTAATACACTTTTATAATACACAACTTTTATAACACACTCTGTAACTCACAGTGATTCACACACTTTACTTAAGGTGCCTGCTGTTCGCTTGACTCAATTATCTATCTCTTCGATCTATCTGCATATCTATATATCGGTTGGCTTTATTTGCCGGGCTTACTTACTGTTACGACAGCGGAGGTCACGTGACTCTAGTGAATCCTCGGGAGTTTACTAGATTT